TGAGATTCTCAGCTCTTATTCCTGTACGGCACTTAGACTACTGTAAAAAGCTAAAAGCATCCTCTCTTGCAAGTGAGCAGCCTTTTTTTATGAATGTAAACTGCTTCCAGAAGATGCTCAACTGACTGACATACTTACTTTATTACTATGCCACTGTTTTTCATCTTAATTGAATATGCTGGGTCTCTGTCTCTGTTGTGATATGCTTAATTTTTCAAATTCCACACACAAAATTACATTTTTCTTATTAATGTTGTTCTGGAGCATTTCTTTAGAATTTAATTAATTTACCATCTTAGCTGCCACAGGATAAGAATTTTTTTAAAATGTGATCTATATGCAAACTTTGCAAGTATATTCCAGTGTTTCTCTGAAGAACTGGCAGACAAGGTGCTTGGGTAGATATGATATCTTTTCTTAGACCAGCTAAATAGGTGGAAGAACTGTTCTTTGCAGGCTTTCAGGCACAAATGCCTCTGAAGAGCTGTCATTTGGTCTGTATGGTCTGTTAAGATTTACATGTTTTGCATGATTCTTGCATTATATCATCATGATTTCAACAGCATTTTGGTCTTTGAAGATGGCGTGGCATCTAAAGGGTCTAAAGTCATGAGGTGCCTTTATTCAATAAGGTCTCTGCATGAACCTCCATTTTTAAACATGCACCCAGGGTAATTTATAAATAGATTTTCTTTAGTGTGGAGTTCTTCTCTTCTAAAATTAAACCAGAATTAAACCAGTCAAGTACTAATTTGTATCTGGTCTGCTACTTATTTGTTTCAAGGGGATAAATTAAAAAGCTCTAAGCCATATCCTGTGCAAGCACTTCATCCCTAAAACATGTCTCTTGGAACCAGTAAACATTTTCATGCTGAGACACTGAGTTTTATAAACTATTTTTGAGAGAAAATGTTATTTATGACATTTTAATTTTTGTTCCAAAGGCAAAAGTTGAAACAAAAAGGAAAACGTCTGTTATATTGCATTTCAAATTAAACTTTTCATTTGGTCTTGTTTGACAAGTAATTTTTCTGTTTTCCCCTTTTCTCCCACTTTTCTTCTTTTATGCCATAAAATAAAAGATGTCTATGGTGCTCTCTATTTTCCCTGAATCCACTGTGTAGCTTTTCAAAACTTCCTCAAGAATAGCAGAAGAAAAAATGAAAGCCTGTAACACTGCCACTGTAACTTTTCATAAGCTGAAGAAATTTTTAACAGTTCCAGAATGTCAAGGTTATAGACCTTCATTGTTCCTTTTGACACGCTCTAACATTTCCAAATTTGGAAAGGCAATGAGAAGTTATATGGTAGAAAAAGGAAAAAAAGGAAAACAACATAATGAATATTATTCATTATATTGCCCCCAGTGAAAAAGAAAAGGGAGAAGAAAGATAGCAGAAAAAAATGAATGTTTTCCAACAATATTTCCTAAAAATCACCAAGAAATAATTGCTATATTTCAAATAACAGAAATAGTACCACTTTTCTTGAAATGGCTTCCCAAGTTTTCAACAAGTTCTGATTATCTCCCCTTTCATGGAAACACTATCCCAGCAGAAGGCTTATTCAGAAAAAAAAATGTTCTAAGGTCAACCTTGAGTTACTCGTTTTAATCATCGCATTGGGAAAAAAGCCCAGAAAAAAAATCCACTTGAAAAAGCACATTTGAAATGACTGATGTTTATACATACACACGCACACACTTACTTTTTCATAGACTTATTTTACTCTATAAATTTCAAAGGTTCCTTGTTTTCATATTCCACTCAAACTAATATTATTATAAAAAGATATACCTACAGGTAGTTTGTAATGTAAAATTCTAATGGTCTAATCAAGTGCTAACAGTGAGCTCATTAAGTTCCAGATTATACAACTTAAATCCTAAACATTCATATTTAAGACTACAACTGTCAATAAAGGTTTGAAATAAAACAAATATGTTATCTGAAACTTTCAGTATAGACAAAAGATCACTGACAAAGTAAAATTTAGTGATCATGTGCTTAGTATGTGTAGCAACTAATCTTGTTTAAAATTAAATGGAAGATTTTCTGTTTCAGAATCAATACATAAATTCAGCAAATCTCAGGCTAGAAAGGTTCATTATAGATTACCTACTCTGACCTGAATAACACAATGAATAGACAGTATGGAAAGACAGCACAAGGTAATACCACAAAGTACCCAAAACTAGTTCTTTGTGTGCTAGCTCTGGAATAAAAAAAAACATGTAGCCATGTTAGCAAAGTGCTGTGCCAAAGCTATCAACCCCTGCTTCTCAGCAAAACTAATTAGCTGAGGCTATGCTAATAGTTTCATAGTTTCTAGGGTCGGAAGGGACCTGAGCAGATCATTGAGTCTGACCCCCTGCCATGGCAGGAAAGAGTACTGGGGTCAAATGACCCCAGCAAGGTGTACATCTAGCCTCCTCTTAAAGACCCCCAGGGTAGGAGCCAGCACCACTTCCCTTGGAAGTTGGTTCCAGATCCTAGCCACCCTGATGGTGAAGTAGCACCTCCTGATATCTAGCCCAAATCTACCCTTTGCCAGCTTGTGACTGTTATTCCTGGTCACTCCTGGTAGTGCTTGAGAACAGGGACTCCCCCAGTGCCTGCTGGTCCCCTCTGACTAGTTTGTAACAGGCCACTAGATCCCCCCTCAGCCTTCTCTTTTGGAGGCTGAACAAGTTCAGGTCCCATAGTCTCTCCTCATAGGGCCTGCCCTGCTGCCCCCTGGTCATGCAAGTGGCCCTCCTCTGGACCCTCTCCATGTTGTCCACATCCCTCTTGAAGTGCGCCGCCCAGAACTGGATGCAGTACTCCAGCTGCGGCCTGACCAGTGCCACATAGAGAGGGAGTATCACCTCTTTGAGATGCATCTGTGGATGAATGACAAGGTATGGTTGGCCTTCCTGACTGCATCCCCACACTGCCAGCCCATGTTCATCTTGGAGTCAATGATGACTCCAAGATCCTTTTCTGCCTCTGTACCAATAAGAAGGGAGTTCCCCAGCCTGTAGGTATGGTGCCAGCTGTTCCTCTCCAGGTGCATCACTTTGCACCTGTCAGTGTTGAAAAGCATTCACTCAATGTGGGATTTGAACCCACAACCCTAGGATTAAGAGTCCCATGCTCTACCAACTGAGCTAGCCAGGCGCAACTAAGCCGGCTGGGTACTACTGAACTAGCCGGGATAATATGGCTAACCATATACATAAATTTCAGAGTTCATGCACATATAGCTAGTAGGCCTGCGCAAAGCAGCTAGTATTCACTCTGAATTCATATTTGGCCAATTCCGGGGGCAGTGATTCGATTCGGTGATTAGAATCACTGTCCCAAATCAATTCAGCTGATTCTGATTCAGAGATCTGACCACTTCCAAATTGGCTGAATCTCTGAATCAGCCCCATCCCCCACCTGCTTTCAATGGCTGCCCAGCCTGCTCTCCCAGCTCCTGGCTCTTTAAAAAAAAAAAAAAAAAAGCCCGTACTCACCAGCTGTTGCCAGGTGGGGGGCAATTCCCACTGCCCCACCGCTACCCCATGCCACATGGGGGGCTCTGCCATGAGCCCCCATCCCCCATCTGTTCTCCCAGTCCCGCCTCCATGGCTGCCCTGCCTACCCCAGCTCTTGGCCCTCAAAAAAAAAGGTCCAACTCATGAACCAAGAGGGTGGGGCAATCCATGCTGCCCCCCACTGCCCTGAGCCACATGGGAAGCTCTGCCATGAGCCCTCAAAAGCCCTGAGGCCACTGCAGCAGCCAGTGAGTCAGGGCTTTTTCTTTTTTTTAAAGGGCCAGGAGCTGGGGCAGGCAGAGTAGCCATGGGAGGGGCTGGGAGAGCAGGGAGGTTTTGGGGACTCATTGTGGCACGGCACAGTGGGGGCCAGCAGAAATCACCCCTCCCCCCCAGCCTTGCAGAAGTCAATGAGTGTGGTTTTTTGTTTTTTAAAGGGCCGAGAGCTGGGGCAGGCAGGGCAGCCATGGCGAGGTGGGGGGCTGGGACAGCAGAGAGGGGTCAGGGTTTTCATGCCAGAGCCCACCACATGGCATGGGACAGTAGGGGGAAGCAGGGATTGCCCCCCTGCCTGGCAGTAGCTGGTGAGTAGGGGCTTTTTTTTAAAGAGCCGTGTACTGGAGCGGGGTGGGGCAGCCATGGGGAGGCTAGGAAAGCAGGCAGGCATCAGGGGGCACTCAGGGGGGGCTGGGGGAGCAGGCAGGGGATGGAGGCT